TAAAAGTAACAGGCTAGCTAAACGCAGCAAAAGGCTAGTTAAAAGTAACAGGCTAGCTAAAAGCAAGAAATGTTAGCTAAAAGTAGCAACTGGCTTGAATTTAAGTTGCCAAAGTGAAGCTAAAAATAGCAAAAGGCTAACCAAAATATAAATGTAGTAACATTTTAGCTAAGAGTTATAACTAGAAAAATGCAGTCCAAAAGCAAAAGTAACACATTTTTTGCTAAAGATATAAAATTAGAAAAAAGTTTGATAAATAACTCAAAGTAAGAACCTATAGCTAAACATCAAATCAAAATCAAATCAAATTTATTTACATAGCACACGTAAAAATCGGCTGTCGTTGGCCAAAATGCTGCACATAATACAAATAGTGAGAACACAACACAAACAAGAGACGTTAAAAACATAGAAAAAAAATCTAAAACTAGATAAAAACATAAAACCTTAAATCATCAAGTTGCAAATCTTAAATTAACAAAAGGTGCAGTGGAAATGTCAAAATTCTTGCCAAACGCTGAAAACCCCAAGATGCAGACAGGACTTGCTAAAGCGATGAAGATGCAAAAAACTAGATTAAAGCTAAAAGTAACAAAAGGATAGCTAGAAGCTAAAGGTAGCACAAGAAGACAAAATAGACCCAGTTTACTAAAGCAAGTTTCAAACAAAATGTTTTTGTTTTGTAAAAATATTTTTAAGTATTGTTTTGAAAAGGATAAAAGTTGCAAAATATGAAAACCATAGCAGTCATCTCCTGAACATGCATGTTTTTGATTTATGGTAGAAATGACTAAAATAGCACAAACCATGTATAAGTGGTTACATAAATAAAAATGTATAGAAAAAATAAAAATATGGAAAAACAGCAAAAATTCATGTGAGGAAAATATATTATTTATTGATCTGCTTCCTGATACATTCAATATTTATTTTTTTACCGTTTTAATAACCTTTATATCCCTTTTTATCACTTAAGGTCATTATGAATGATATTACAATGTTTTAATGTCGACATTATAATTGTTTTTGATGTGACTTTTTGTAAGAAGAGAGCAAAGTGTTCATCATCTTTTTATGCATTTAAGACATTTGAATTTTATAGTAGATGCTGTGGTTCGTTCGTGGGAATCCTTGAGAAATGTTTGTCTCCAGCGGTTCCTCTGAGTCTTTGCTCACAGCTTTAGTTCTGATAATGCTCGAGCTGGGACACAGGAGAGGGGGAGGAGGACGGACGGGATTCCTACAAAACAAACAAACTTTGCTTTAGTCAGCCGAACGGGTTGTAAACTCAGACAGGACACGGCGTGTATAAGTTCAGTACTTGTGATGCAATGGCTTCCTGTGAGTCTCACTGTTCAATTCAGTTTATTTCTATAGCACCAAGTCACAACAGAAGTCAGTGCACTGTACAACAACATTCACATACATTATAAAAAGACAATTAGTAAAAGTTCTCCGTCTAAGGAAGCCAGCAGATTGTGTTAAATCTTCACTTTGTCGCAGTCTCCCACCCTGAGCAAGCACAAAGGAGACAGTGGAAAGGAAAAACTCCCTTTTAACAGGAAGAAACCTCCAGCAGAACCAGGCTCAGGACGAGCGGCCATCTGCTTCAATCGGCTGGGGTTTGTGAGGACAGGAAGGAGGAACAAACAGAATGACAGGTCCAGGTGTACTTTCTATAGGAAGAGCGACAAAAACAATTAAAGCTGCAAGCAGCGTTGAAGGCCCTCGCAGCGAAGCGCCGCTGCGGCCTTACCGCGACCGCGGGAACTCCAGCGACTCTTCCCGGTCGCCATCGAGAACGCTCACGCTACCGTCACGTGCCCGTTCTCCGGAATGTGCATTCGCCGAACCTTTGACATCAGCTGCGACCGCGGATATAACTATTTTAATATTATAGGGGGCGCTCTAGAGTCAAAAGTTAAAAAACATTACTAATGTGTCCATAACTGCTTACTAATGATGCACCCAAAATCTGGTGCAGATCGTATGGTATATCATTGAGATACAAGTGTTAGAATATTATAGGGGGCGCTCTAGAGTCAAAAGTTAAAAAACATTACTAATGTGTCCATCAGGACTACATAATAATACACCAAAAATCTGGTGCAGATCAGATGATATATCATTGAGATATAACAGTTTAAAAAATCTAGGGGGCGTACTTGAGTCAAATATTAAACAACAACACAACTGTGTCCATAAGTCCTCACTAGTCCAGCACCAAAAATCTGGTGCAGATCAGACGATATATCACTGAGATATAACTGTTTGAATTATGTAGGGGGCGCACTTGAGTCAAAAGTAAAACAACAATACCATTGCGTGTTTAAGTGCTCACTTATCACACACCAAAAATCTGGTCTACATCGGATGACATATCACTGAGATATAACAGTTTGAATAATGTAGGGGGCGCACTTGAGTCAAATATTAAACAACAAAACTAAAATGTCCATCAGTTCTCAGTAATGACGCACCAAAAATCTGGTTCAGATTGGATGTTGTATCACTGAGATATAACTGTAAGAAGAATGTAGGTGGCGCTGTTGAGGCTCTTGGCCACTTATCATGGAACCCTGTTCAAAGGTGGATAATGATCAATCATAGTGATTTTGGTTCATCTGGGCTCAAATCTGTGCAATTTAGAGCCAAACGTATTGCAACGGCGTCTCTTTTTAATTCGCCATGGCGCCACACCCACATCCTCCAGCTATAACTGTTTGTAGTTTAAATCAAGTCAGACCATCTTGTTATCTGTCTTCCAACACAGGATCATCCTGATTAGATTAAGGGAGTCAAAGAAGGAGCATTCCAATTAAACAAAGTCACTTCCTGTTCTGAGGGGGCGGGGCTTTGATGACGTCACAATATGACCTCAGGGTATCATCGGGCATGGGACAGGGATGACTCGTGCCAAATTTGGTGCAAATCTGTTTTTCAAGTTGAAAGTTATAACGTTTGGAAATTTATGGCGTGAAGCTCAACTTTGAGGCCTGGCCACGCCCCTTTAACAAAATGAAACCGAAAGCTTTTGATAACTTTTACTCTCCAATGTCTTAAAGGTCTATTAACCAAGTTTGAAGGCAATCCTTCAAAATCCCTAGGAGGAGTTCGTTAAAATTCGCCATTAAAAACGCCCAAAAATTAACCTTTGACCCAAAATGGCCGACTTCCTGTTGTTTGGACCTGAGCTCCAAGAGACTTTTTCAAAGGTCCTGAGAAGATACACATGTTCAACGAGTTTCAGAATTATCGGTCGAAAAATGTCTTGGGGCCGAGGTTTTAAAATATTCTAGGGGGCGCTATAGAGGCTATTGCGCAATTATCATGGCTTCCTGTTCAAGGGGCGGGCAATGATCGATCGTAGTGATTTTGATGAACCTCGGATCAAATCTGTGGAATTTAGAGCCAAACGTATTGTCACGGCGTCACTTCTGACTTCGCCACGCCGCCACGCCCACATCCTCCAGCGGAAACGCTTTGCGCTTCAAAGCAAGTCAGACCAACTTGTTGTCTGCCTTCTAACACAGGATCATCGTGATTGGGTCCAGAGTGTCAGGGAAGGAGCATTCCAAGCAAAAAAAGTCACTTCCTGTTCTGAGGGGGCGGGACTTTGATGACGTCAAAATTTGACCTCAGGGTATCGTCGGGCATTGGACAGGGATGACTCGTGCCCAATTTGGTGCAATTCTGTTTTTCAACGTGAAAGTTGTAGCGTTTGGAAATTTTTGGCGTGAAGCATAATTTTGAGGTCCGGCCCCGCCCCCTCAACATACGTCGGTTTGCACCGTTTTGATAACTTTTGGTCCCCCATGCCTACTGAGCAAAATGGCGCAAGTTTGAAACCGATTGAGCGAAATCCCTAGGAGGAGTTTGTTCAAATTTGCCGTGTACGAAAAGCGAAAAACGGCCAAAATTGACCCTTTGACCCAAAATGGCCGACTTCCTGTTGGGTTTAAGGCATACCTCCAAGAGACTTTTTTTCATGATTCAGTGGGTTGTACATGTGTACCAAATTTCAGCTCTCTAGGTCTTACCAGTTGTCATATCTCACGTTAGGGGGCGCTGTGGAGCAGTTTGGCCACGCCCACTTTTGGTTCCATTAAATACCTCAAATTTCTCGCGGGGGACAATTTTGGGTCAAATATGGTGAGTTTTCGAATATGTTAAGGCCTCCAAATTAGCGCTCTTTGACGGAAAAAAATTTGAAACGACACAATAACAATAGGCCTTCGCAGCGCTTAGCTGCTCGGGCCTACGCAGCGCTTAGCTGCTCGGGCCTAATAAGGATAGAAATAATTACAAATACTAACAGGTAAAGTAAAGACAGCAGCAGAGTGAGGACGTGTGGTCAGTTTGTCCTCCTGCAGTTTAAGCCTATAGCATCATAACTAAGGGATAGCTCAGGAACCCATGCTGGCTCAACTATAGGATTTAACATAAAGTAAAATCTTAATCCCAGTCTTAAAACTGGACAATGTGTCAGCCTCACAGACAGAAACTGGAAGTTGGTTCCACAAGAGAGGAGCCTGATAACTGAAAGCTCTGCCTCCCATTCTGCTTTTGGAAACTCTAGGAACCACAAGTAAACCTGCAGTCTGAGAGTTAAGTGCTCTGTTAGGAAAATATGGAACAATAAGATCTGTAATGTAAGATGGAGCTAGGTTGTTGAGAGCTTTGTAGGTTAGAAGTAGAATTTTGAATTCTGTTCTCCAAAGCTTTTGATGAAATCCACACCTGATTGTTTGTGAATCTTTTTTTTTTTTTTTTGACAACAGTCTCCAGCATGAGTTCAGTATTATTATGAGATTCCAAAATAAACTGGCTCATCATCTTACCGTCATGTGTCTTCCACCCCCAGGAATACAGTCAGCTCATCCCAGGCACAACCGTGGGAACGCTGTCAGATGACTCTGGGAATGTGATTCAGCTGATTGAGGACGCCTATAGGGTAAAAAAAAGACAAGTTTTTGTTGCTTGGAAAATATGCAGAGCATGCAAATGAGTGTTGTATATTCTAACTGAAAGGATAATTACAACTTTATATGAGCAGAAAATTCGCTCTAAAGTGGAGCTGGAGCTGCTGGGAGTCCCAGACGAGTTGAATCTCTCTTTCAACGCCACCTGCCTGAACGGAGAGGTCATCCCTGGAGTCAAGTCCTGCTCTGGACTGAAGATCGGGGACACGGTACATATTGTTAGAAATGATTACTTTTTCCCATTTGTGTACACATTTATAACCTGATGTTTCCGTGCTGTAGGTGTCTTTCAGTGTGGAGGCTCAGCTGCGTGGCTGCCCTAAAGAGAAGAGCCGCAAGTTTACCGTCAAACCTCTGGGCTTCAAGGACTCTCTAGAGGTCACGGTGGACTTTGCTTGCGGCTGCGACTGCGAGGCGAAGTCGGTGGCCAACAGTTCGGTCTGCAGCAACGGCAACGGGACCTACGAGTGCGGCGTTTGCCAGTGCCACCAGGGTCGAATGGGTCCGAGATGCGAGTGCTCACTGGAGGACTACAGTCCATCTGATGATGCCGACTGCATCCCAAAACCAGGCAGCTCGATGTGCAGCGGGAGAGGCGACTGTTTGTGTGGACAGTGCTCCTGTCATGCAAATGATTTCGGACAGGTGTGGGGAAAGTACTGCGAGTGTGACGACTTCAACTGCCTGCGCTTCAAGGGCGCCCTGTGCTCTGGTGAGTAAATACACAATGACTGTATTACCACGTTACTGCAGCCTTTTGCAACTACCGTATTTTCCACCGTACACGTTGCACCGCCCTATAAGTCGCATCAGTCCAAATACGTCTAATGAAGTGGAAAAATCCATAAATACATGGCATCTGTTATGCGTCACCGCTGACAACCTGGAAATGTGGGCCGGTGTTGTGCCAAAAATCGATTGGTTGTCAAATGGCGGTCGTGGGAGCGTGCACGGGAGGACTTTGACAAGAATTTAACAAGATTAACACTTAAAAACAATTATTTGTTTGCTCGAAATGATAGCAATGGTGTGTCTCAGTTTAACTTTTCCTTAATAAATGCACGTTGACGGTCAAATCAGCTGCATTCTCAAAAGCCGATACGCGGAAACATGAACGCGCAGAGGGTGAAACGCAGTCCATTTCTTCAAAATTTAACAAGACAAGCACCAAAAACAATTTGTTTGCTGGACTTTATAGCAAAGGTGTGTCTCAGTTGAACTTTTACTTAATAAATGCACTTCAGTGGTCAAATCAGCTGCATTTCACCGGGGTGGCGCAGCGAAATGAAGCTGATTTGATGGTTGCTCAAGGCAAACGACGGTGGCAATCAATGGTAAGCCGATTGTGTCATTAATAACCACTTTTACCTATTATATGATACAGCAGCATACCATACTGCTCGACTGCCATCTAGTGACTGAAAATGGTAGTGTTCAATATTTTCAGTCAGAATGAATGAAAATGACCATATCTCAGCCAAAAATTGGTTTATGAATATGGGAGAAAACAAACAAACATGTCGCTTCGACGTATAAGTCGCAGGGCATGACAATTATGCAAAAAACTGTGACTTAAAGGGCGAAAAATACGGTAATTTTCACAGCTTCAACCATGTGCTGTGATTCTGACTGAATATATGGACACAGGCTGTCTCCCTCCCTCTCTCCTTGTGCACTCTTTTTCTTTGCGCACACTTTTTAAGCACTCACAGCACTCCTAAGTGTAGTAAACGCACTTCGTTGCTTTATACCAATGCATTTCAGTGCAGTGCAATATAACACGTAGGGTGGGTCTAAATTGACTTGCTGCTCCGTCGGATCTGAACCAGAGTTGAGACCAGAGTCTCGACTTTCAGAACTCTTATCTTAAAAGGTCAGACAAGATTCGTTTTTATGTTCGAGTTGAGTTAGAAGTGTCAAAAACTGGAAGAGTGCAATGTAACTAAAAGAGGTGGAATAATTTACAAGTAAGGAGAAAAATCGGGAACACATCAGTATCAAAGCGTCCAAACGAGTCTTTTATACAGATAGAAGCAAAACAGGGTTTGCTGCTTTGTAAAGAAATTTACATTAAATGTTTAATAGAAGATTTGAAAGTCTATCACCATGGTCCTCGTCCCTGAAGGTCACTATCCTGAACGTTTTAGCTGTCACTCTGTTTACACACACCTGATTAGAGCTGCATTCAGGCCTAAAACATCCGACCCAGCCTGGTCCGAACACGTATCGTTTTTCTAGAGCCCGACCCGAAACCGACCAATTAACTGTGACTACAGGCCCGAACACAAAAAACAACAAAAAAAAAACTCTTTTAAATTAAGCTTTTGGAAGCAAATCTGTTTGACATGATTTTTAAAAACGCATTTCAAAGAAAGGAAGATATAAGATTGCTTGTTTATTAACAAGAGTCAGTTGATTATTATAGTTATTATTATAATATTATAGTTATTAACGGTCGGCGGACACGTGTGGCTGATGATCCTAATTGGGTCACGACGCAGCGGCTGAGTCCAGCTGGACTTCGGATGGATCAGTGGTCCATCTGAAGTTCTTAAATAAACTTTTTCTTTTTTTTTTAACCTCTTTCAAGCGGCCGTTTGGCCCCGTGCGTCCACTGATGCAATCAAAAGCCCGACACCGACGTGGCCCGCCCATCCAGCACATTTTTTTGGTCCGGGCGTTGGCCCAGGTTAGAAATGACAGCTCCACACCTGATGTGAACGAATGAGTGATTACGGCTTCCTCAGACTTTGAAGACCTGCAGAAGAGCAGAGAATCGACTAAAACCTGTAGGGTGACCAGTATTGGACACCACTGGTCTATCACATGGCTACTACAGACAAAAAAAAAAGTATATACCGACCAAATGTTCATATTTTTGGACTGTGGGTGGAATACCTGTACCTGCAGAATATTCTGCACAGAAAAAGGTTCAGCTGAGATCTGAGCTAAGACCATTCTCGCTCTGAGGCGAAGGTGCTCAGTGTTAGTAAAACTAAACCGAATTTGTGAATTCTTCATTTAAACATTCTTGAAATATTCAAGGTATAATGAAAACTCACATGATGTGAATCTAAACAGCAGACCCTTCATCAAACTGCAACATAAAAAATATTTAAAACTTATTTTTTAATCAAAGTAAGAGTCTGAACTGTGTGAAGTTTTGACCAAAACTCTTGTTCATTCACCCGTATAATAACTTATTTTATTGTGAGCACATTTTGTTGAATTTTTGAACTGGTAAGTTTTGTACAGTAGGTCAGGAAAGATTAAGCTGGCCCTCCCTTCCTTTTCTCTATCCTGTAAGGCCTCCTCCTACCTTGCTGGGACATATTCTTCGGCTCACTCTCTCTGTAAACAGAACTCAGTCGGTTTACATAGCTTTCTGTTACTTCGCCTGAAACACGTCAAAGCTTTTAAAAGTCCTGTTCCTCAGCACCTTCATTTCTTCTTTGCACAAAACTGCATTATGTATTTGCTGATGTACATAAACCTCAGAAGAGCCAGATGCTCGGGTCAGTGAATTTGGAGCAGATTGCACTTTGAGTCAGAGTTTGACTGACGTTCTTAGAGCTCATCGTAAGGCTGCTCGATGGGCTTTATGAGCTGCAACAACAGCGCAGGTCAACGGAGAAGAGGAAGCACGCTTTCCTGCTGGAGTGGTTGAACGTAGCAGCTCGTTTTAGGAACTCCGAGCTCAAGGAGAGGCTGAGCATCAGCAACACACAGCGCTCTTCCAAACTGACGTGCGTTTGTCAGAGCGTGCTTCAGCAACTGGTTGTTTCAAATTTACATTGGAAAGAAAAAGCACCTTCTCAGCTCAAAGTATAATAAATCTTCTCGTTTTCTTTAACTCGTTCCATCTTTAACGAATCACGGTGCATTCACTGTACCTCAGTTGAAAAACAATTGTTTGTGACGCGATCTGTTGTTTAATGTGTAGCAAAAGGCCGACGGGGCAGAAGCACGTACATGAACGACGAGATGTAGGAAACGATGGAGGAACAGACGTGACGCGCGTTCAAGCACAATCCACGCACCAAGGAGGAAACACAAAGACACTATTTGTAAGGAGGCGGACAAGACAAAATGACAAACACCTGGGGTGATTAGGATTGAGACAGGTGCGACGGGAGCTGAACAACAAGGATGAAAAGCACTGGGGAGTGCAGGAAATATAGGGATGGAAGAAATGACAGGACAGAACAGATTCCCACAGTTTGGACAGCTAGGGTATAATAAAATGGTTTTCAATACACCAACCATCATACTCTGAACTGAACATGAAAAAGATGTGTAGACCTTCACACATTTCCTGCAACAAGTCCTCTGTGCGGGACTTGGCTGGTCCTGTAAGGCTTGCAGGAGTTCCACCTGTCTTCCTTCATCGTGCGTCCAGTTTATTTGAAATCATTGTATTCATTGTATACACTTTTAGTCCTAAACTCTTAAAAGTATCCAACAAAGTTCAGTCAGGTCACCTGGACGGTTTCTTTTTTGTTGATGTTGAGACGTTTTGTCCTTCATCCAGAGGACTTCATCGATCCGAAGAGCCACAAACAAACTCAGTCCCACAAGCAGCACACTCCCATAGTCAGTTTGCTGGTGATAAGATGGTTTCTGTGGCCCGCCCTCTCCCCCGTCGACTCCTCTGAGGCAGCCACGCCAAAGTGGTTCATGCTCAATAATCCAGGTAGAAAATCCAACAAAGTTCAGTCACTCAATCCAATGCTTGTGGGACTGAATTTGTATGTGGCTCCTCGGATTGATGAAGTCCTCTGGATGAAGGACGAAACGTCTCAAAAAAAAAAAAAAAGGCCAGATGACCTGACTGAACGTTCTTGGACTTTTAACCTGGATTATTATGAACTTTGACATCTCATAAGTATATTTTCAGCTTTGTCTCCCACAAGTTGGTTTGTAACATAAACAAGGATTTATCAAGGAACCTCCTGGTGACGGTTTATGAAAACATTACGTCATATTTTCTCTGAACAGATTGGGCAACCTTGAAGGTTTGAAAGCTTTGGCAACATGTTGGACTCTTTATTGGGTTTCTCAAGCCTATTTTGTTCCGTGTGGTACAGTTCTTGGTATTTTTGCAGGTGTGTCCCAAGTTTTTCAACCATGTTTTGTTGGGTTGGACATGAAAAACTTAGATGCACATGCTGGAATGCTGCTGATTTTTGCCTTAAAGCTGCTGTATTCATTCCTCTGCTCTCTACAGACTCATGTTCAGGCTGCTGTTTAATACACCATATTATTTTACGTTATTAGTGTTTAGTATATCTTAGATCCTTGTATACTGTCTCTTTTTATACTTTATATTTTTGCTATTTTTGGGTGTAACTGGGACTGTGAGTACACAGTTTCATTCCACCTCATGTACCACATGTGATGCGAATGACAAAAAAGAACCTTGAACCTTAGAAGAACAATTTCTGAGCAAAACGTTTTATCGTAAACTTAAAAAATATTTACTGTCACAAGTACTCCCAACTACGACGGAGCTTTGGGGCCACACTAAGAAAAAAATACATTTTGAACGAGAATAAAGCCGTGCAACAATAGTTGTAGTATTACGAGAATAAAGTCATAGTATTATGAGAATAAAGTCGTAGTATTATGAGAATAAAGTTGTAGTATTATGAGAATAAAGTTGTAGTATTATGAGAATAAAGTTGTAGTATTACTAGGATAAAGTTGCAGTATTACGAGAATAAAGTCGTACGACAATAAAATTGTAGTATTGCTAGAATAAAGTCGTAGTATTATGAGAATAAAGTTGTAGTATTACAAGAATAAAGTGGTACGACAATAAAATTGTAATATTGCGAGAATAAAATCATATTATTATGAGAATAAAGTCATAGTATTACGAGAATAAAGTCTTACGACAATAAAGTTGTAGTATTGCGAGAATAAAGTCATAGTATTATGAGAATAAACTTGTAGTATTATGAGAATAAACTTGTAGTATTATGAGAATAAAGTCATACGACAATAAAGTTGTAGTATTATGAGAATAAAGTCGTACGACTATAAAGTCATAGTATTGCGAGATTAAAGTCATAGTATTATGAGAATAAACTTGTAGTATTATGAGAATAAACTTGTAGTATTATGAGAATAAACTTGTAGTATTATGAGAATAAAGTCATACGACAATAAAGTCGTAGTATTACGAGAATAAAGTCTTACGACAATAAAGTTGTAGTATTGCGAGAATAAAGTCATAGTATTATGAGAATAAAGTTGTAGTATTATGAGAATAAAGTTGTAGTATTATGAGAATAAAGTCATACGACAATAAAGTTGTAGTATTACGAGAATAAAGTTGTATGACAATAATGTCGAAATAATACAATAATAAAGTCCTAGTATTACCAGAATAAACTCATAATATTACCAGAATAAAGTTGTATTATTATCAGAACTCTAACATGAAAAGGCAGTCTTACAACTACGGTAAAATGATGAATTTCAACATTCGCCTTATGATCTAGCTATTTTTTTGCTATTTTTGCCATCTTATTTGAATTTGTTTTAAAAAAAATTCCGTATGTCTCTTTTATGATTGTCCATTGTTGTCATCATTCTTTGTTAAAATCAGGTCTCTCTTGTAAATGAGTCCTCGAGGCTCAATGGGATTTACCTGTCTAAATAAAGGTTGAATGACTGTTGACGTCGGCAGTACAACAGCAGGGGTCCTTAAGCACTGAAGCTGTATGGCATTGCAATTAATGTCTGTATTGAGGGATTTAGTGGTGACATAATGTGGATGGAGGCATATTTCACAAACATTGACCCAAAAGTGATCACAGACTATTCATAAACAGAGTGACTCGAATTGGAGGCTGTCCACAGCAGGTGCGAGCCAACCCAAGAACGTATTATGATTTTATTCTCCTAATATTATGACTTTTTTCTCATAAGGTAATTTTTTTGTTCTTAGCGTGCCCCTAAAGCTCCGTCGTTCCCAACTTTCTCTTACCTAAAGTTTGAATTATAAAAAGAAATTGTTGACAAGTCTCTCAAGAGATGTTGATTTTATGGCTTTCGGTGCAGATAGCTCAAACACTGCTGGAAAAGCTTTGGGACCAACACATTTCTCAGCCTCGGGTCCTTAAGTTTTCCCTGAAGAGTGCGTGTCTCTCAGTCCCACTTCAATCCGAGCCGTGGTTCAAATGCGCTCAGTGTTTCTTCATCTGCTGAGAGGGAGGGCGTGGTGCAGGCCTGGGGAGCAGGAGTCAGCAAGCACAGCTCCAGGGCTCATAAATACGAGGACCGAGTGAGGAGGAACGCTTGCATTCCTTTGCTGGCAGTTTGCCATTCTTTCCTCTTCCTTTAGCGGTGGAATGCTTTGTTTTAATGCTCTGTCTGGTCCCCTGTTCGTTAATCACGCCTTCCCGTTTAAACCTCTCCAAACTGCAGATTAATGGACAGGACTAATGTGCAATCTCACAGAAGTTGGATGATGCAAACCTTCAAGCTTCCTTTAATGTGTGAAAAAAGACGACTAATCCTGCAGGCCTCACCAACATCAACTGTTTCATGATTTCTTGTTTGTGCAGTGTCTACCTCCCTCTGTTGTTGTAGCAAGACAGATTAGTCATGGCTGAGCGTGATGAAACTCACAGCAGCCGTGTGGGCTCACATCGCCGATAAAACACAAAGCAAAGGAGACGATGCAGTCCGAGTGTAAACCCAAGCATCATTTCCTTGATTTCACGACTGATTTGTTTTGAGCTGTTAAATCAGGGGGACCCTCAGAGATATTTCATGACCCCTCCTGTCTGATCCAGCTGGGCTGTGACTCCCAAACTTCGCTGTTAGTCATCAAATCCTGTTTGTGTTGCTTGTAAGAGCACTGGAGCCACCGGGGACGTGCCGCTGGTTCTGAGGTTGCTTAATGTGCTGATGTTGCGTCTGCCGGTAATCCAGGATGAAAAGCCGAGGAGCAGAGAGTTGTGACACTTTAACAACTTTGTGGTGCTTCACTAGGCTGAACGTGCGTTGGTACGCCTCCTTGTAAGGAGCTTAAGAATCTAAATTTAATTAGCTCGTCTAATAATAAAACATTTGAGTTTTTTCACTCTGAGATGATGACGTCTGTTTCCAAGTACCGGTAACTAGAATGTATTGTTTTTTTTAATGGAAAAGTTATTTATTCTTCAGATTTGTTCTCTTTATGAACCAATAAGTGACTCAAGCTGGCTAATTGAAGCTTATTTTAAAAAGGAAGGAAGAATATTTTCAAATTAAAAGCCTAGCATTGCCTGAATATACCCCTCGCCATCTTTGCTGTCAATCATCGTCACACGATGTCACACGTGTTGTCCATGACTCTGAACTACTACCACACCAAGTTTTAGCTCGACACACGTACAATTTACTGAGTTAGAGTCTTTCTGTGTTTGCTAAGGTTGATTAGCTGTGGCAGCCATCTTGAACTGAATTAACGCCACATGATATGATGAGTGGTGGTGTCATGGTCGGCAGGAGGGTTTGAAACCAGAACGCAAACAAGAGGCTCAAAAAAAAAAAAACTACCGTAAATTCTGGACTATTGAGTGCACCTGAATAAAATCTGCACAAAATAAATTAAAAAAGAATAAACATAGTACGTATATAAGCCACACCTGTGTATGCGCTGCGGGTGTCCACGTTGTAACATGAGATATTTATACGGAAAGATAAAAAAAAACTTCTAATTAGACACGTAACGGGCAGCACGGTGACGCAACTGGTCGAGATGCTGCCTCTCAGCGAGAAGGTTGCCAGTTCACATCCTGGTCCGGGGCCTTTTTTGGGTGTAGTTTGCATGTTCTCTCCGTGCATGCGTGAGTTTTCTCCGGGTGCTCCAGTTTCCTCCCACAGACCAAAAACATGCATGTTAGGCTGATTGGTAACTCTAAATTGTCCCTAGGTGTGAGTGAGAGAGTGAATGGTTGTTTGTCTCGTTTGTCTCTGTGTCCCTGTGATGGACTGGAGACCTGTCCAGGTGTCCCCCACCCCTCGCACAGTGATTGCTGGACATAGACACCGGCAACCCCTGTGACCCAAAATGGAAGAAGCGGGTAAAAGTTAATGGATGGATGGATGGACGTACCGGTAACACTTATGGGACTGAGTTTGTTGTGGCTCCTTGGACTGATGAAGTCCTTTGGATGAGGGACGAAATGTTTCAACAAAAATAGAAACCATCCAAAGGACCTGACTGAACTTTGTTTTTTTTTTTTACCTGGATTGGTGTGAGAGCTGAACCAACGCTAGCACTCCCCTCAAATAATAATAATAACAAAAAAATCAACTAATGACATTCAGTCTCTTCTAATAAATATTGGTTCAAAATATTTTTTTAAATAAACTAATGAAACAGTTCTTGACTACAAGGATGGTTCCATTAATGTAATATTTTGTTGCGCAACCTCCTCAGACGATCCCTGCCATCACGTTTGTACCTGTCCGCAGGTGTTTTAGCCCACTCCTCGTGAGCAAACTGCTCCAGCTGTGTCAGGTTTGAAGGTTCCTTCTCCAGATGTTTCAGCGCCTTCCTCTGATGTCCAACAGGAGAAGGCCACTTCAGAACAGTCCAATGTTTTGTTCTGAGAAGTTGTTTTGGGTCATTATTCTGCTGGAGGACCCATGACCTGCACCTGAACTTCAAGTTATTTCAGTGACCTTTAAAGGTTTTTCTTACTTTAATGAAATGATACAAACTGTCACCGTTGTGGAGGAATCGAACCCGGGAACGCAGACCCACTCGAGGAGCTAAACAAATAAAACTTTTTTTCTTTTAAGGTTAAAAAGGCAACAAATATTACAATAGCTGAAAGACATGAGAACGCAGAAGACACAAGAGAAGTACAGGCCGTGGCATGAGGGCCAATAATGGTAAACTGGTGAAGGAGCGAGAAGCGAAGGACTCAAAGGGCTGAGGTTGATGAGTGGAGTGACTGCAGCTGCGACTCGTGAAACAGGACAGGTGGAGATGGGCGTGGCAGGCTGACTGGAGCAACACAGAGGGAGAGGAACACAAGGAGACCTGTCACCAAACAGCACAGACTGTGACGTGAACAAACCGCTGTAGCTGCTTTCGTTGTGCGCTGGATCGAATTTTGAAGACGTAATTTCTACTTGTGCTTTTATTTCGTGTTTCCAGACAAAGGGAAGTGTAACTGTGGCTTCTGTCAGTGTGACGCCGGCTGGAAGGGAGAGAACTGTAACTGCTCCACCCGGACCGACACCTGCATGTCCAGCATCGGGCTGCTGTGCAGCGGCCGGGGTAACTGCGAGTGTGGGGTCTGCCAGTGCACCCAGACCGGCGCCTACGGAGGCACCTGTGAAAAATGCCCCACCTGTCCGGATTCCTGCACCATCAAAAAGTACGTTCGTGTCAAGATTTAGACTTTTTTTTACATTCTCATATTTAGTCAGTAACGTTTAAACCAAACAGAATGAACAATAAATGTCTTACCTGCTGTACATGGCATTTTGAACAACCCTAGTTGGGAGTAAAAAGCATTTTTATTGGTTTGATGAGCAAACTGATCAAGTGGAGCCAAGACTAAAATGGATTGCTGAGATTTTAAAACGACAAGTTTTGTTGCAATTCTTGCACGTTGTTTTATACACCTTTGCACTGCAGTCACCTTTGTGCATGATATACATCCAGTGATTATTTTTTGAGAGCATCATTAGAATCTGTCCACTGGGTCACGAGACATTTTAAAATTTCAAACACAAAAACAAAGAAATGTATTATCACGTTTGCCAACCAGTGAAAATAATGCAACATAGTGAATCAGAATAAACTTTATTGTCATTGTACCAGAATACAGTGGAATTATAATATTAAGAGACTTAGACTAGTTTGTGAGGTTTATTGTTTCAGATTATTTAAATCACATCATCCTGTCACATTCATGCCTAACCACATGACTGAACAACCTGCGGGAACCCACAGGTGATTGTGCTTCTTGCTTCAGACGTCAGGTCAAACTCCTGCACGCCTCAACAGCTGAAAACATCAGCAAACTGTATCTTTGTGTTTGTAGTTGTCATAAAACTGAGGCTGAATCTCATCCATCCATCCATCCATCCATCATCCATCCATTATCTTCGTGAGGGCAGCAGCTTGAGCAGGGAGGTCCAGACATCTCCTTCCACAGCCATCTCTTCCAGCCCTTCTGGGAGGATTCCAAGGCGTTCCCAGGCCATCCGAGAAACATAGTCTCTCCAGCGTGTCCTGGGTCTTCCCCGGGATCTCCTCCCAGTTGGACATGCCCAAAGCACCTCCCTTGGGAGGCGCCCAGGGAGCATCCTTACCAGAGTTTATGACCATAGATGAGGGTAGGAACGTAGACCAACCAGTAAACGGAGAGATTCGTCTTACAGCTCAGCTCCCTCTTCACCACAACAGACCGGTACAAAGTCCGCAATACTGCAGATGCTGCACCAATCCATCTGTCAATCTCATGCTCCATTCTTCTCTCACTCGTGAACAAAACCCCGGGAGATTTGAACTCCTCCACTTGAGCTAGAACCTCACCTTCTTCCGACCGAGGACCATGGCTGAATCCCACTGAATCAAACCAGGGGTGTAAACTGTGCGTGTAAAGGCTTGGCTTGTTGTGCTTGCAGGGAGTGTGTCGAGTGTCAGCACTTCAAGAGAGGACAGTACATCACAGACGACAGCTGCAACAGAATCTGCAAAACTGAAGTACAAGTAGTCGATGAACTGGGTGAGAACTGGGTTGATCTTTTTGTTCCTTTCCTCCCGATCCACCACGTTCAGTTAAACACCACAGACTGACTGAAGCTATGATGTTCTTTTAAAGGTAACAGTTTGTCTTACCTGGTTTTGCTTCTTCTTACAGCTTACCATGCAGAGCACGCCGTGAACTGCTCGTACAAAGACGAGAACGACTGCATCGTGCACTTCCAGTATTATGAAGACACCAGCGGCAAATCCATCCTGTACGTGGTGAAAGAACCAGGTACTTTGTTTGAACTTCATCAGCGCATCATCAGGCCTGAACTGTGCTCTTCATGTCACTCCGCTCCATTTCTTGTAAAGAGGGGAAAGAACAAAATCCTCAGCTAAAAATGTGTTTTTTCTGTAGTGTTAGTAAAATATCTCATGAACCACTGGGCAAATTTTGATGAAACTCTCAGCGTGCAATCAAGATGGCTGCCACAGCCATAATTAGCCAATACAAAATTAGCTATAACTAAGTTTTACAGATATTGTGCTAAAATTTGATGTGGTAGTAGCTGAGAGTCATTCCAAATACATACTTGGAGTATGACGTGTCACAATTCGCATGAGATTGCAAAACTATATATATATATATATATATATATATATATATATATATATATATATATATATATATATATATATATAACAAATAAAATGAAATAAAATAAAAATGAAAGGAAATAAAAGTTTAGGAAAATGCCTCTTGGATGAGGGGCGAAACGTTTCTTTTTAACAAAAAAAACGAAGTCCAGATGACATGATTCAACCTTTTTTGTTGTTATATACCTGGATGACTGAGAAAACAAACTTTGTGTTTTAGGAAAATGTGTTTGAGCTCTTTGTTTCTGCTCCTGATTCTCCTCTCAGAGTGTCCCGAGGGTCCTAACATCCTGGTGGTCCTCCTGGCGGTGGCCGGAGCCATCCTGCTGCTGGGCCTCGTCGGTTTGCTCATCTGGAAGCTGCTGATCACCATCCACGATCGCCGAGAGTTCGCCAAGTTCGAGGAGGAGAGAGCCAAAGCCAAATGGGACACGGTGAGAAACGACAACGACGATAAGTCAACTTCTTAAAGGACTTTACCAACTCAGTTAAACCGAATGATCTCCACGCTTGTTTTTCAGGCAAACAATCCTTTGTATGTCGGAGCCACTTCCACTTTCACCAACGTAGCATACAAAGGCGACTAAAGGCTAGCCGGAACATGTCCGAATCTCAGGGCTGGACGACGGAGACGGATCGCTGGAAGTGACACAAAGAAAACCTTTGACATCTTCCCCGCTGCTGAAAAGTTGTTACTGCTGTCAAGAAGTCAGTGTGATCACTGTACATGGATACTGTCAAAATAATAAGAGCTCGTAATAAAAAGCTCTGACGAGTCCCTTTCAGGTTTTCTGTGTGAACACTTATGCAAAGTTCACACGTTGTGATCCATTTTTCTTCTGTACATTTTTCAGCATCTTTCTCGTTCCACAGTTTTTGTGCTATTTCAACAAATCATAAATCAAAGCGTTCAGTTTGTTCAGGACAATCCTGCTGTGACTTTTGGTATTGGTGCAACTTTAGCTTTTTTGAGTTATTTAGCCTTTTCTGTAACTTTTTTCTTTCATAGAAAATGAACTGAGCTCATTTTACATCCTTCACTTCTTTAGATGTGTTTACAACCTTTTACTGCTTCTTTCACATTTTCTTCTGCTTCAGCTTCTTTCAGCTTCCTTGTGCAACTTTAAACCTTTTTTCAGCTACTTTCAGCTAATTTCAGCCCTTTTTTCAGCTGTTGCTCCTTTTAGATTCTTTCTAACTACATTTTTGTGCTTTTTCTAACTTCTTTCTGCTCCTTTCAGCTTATTTCTGCAAGTTTCAGCTTTTTCTGCTATTTCAGCTACTAAGCAGTTTTATGCTCATTTTAGCTTTTTCAGCCATTTCCACTTTTTTGTGCTCATTTCAGCTCTTTCTGCTTCCTTCTGGTTCTTTCTGCCTTTTCAGCGATTTTTCACTAATTTCAGCCTTTTATTTCCTATTTTTATGTTAATTTCTGCTTATTTAAGCCTAATTCACCAAATACGTGTTCGTTATGCGTTCTTCTGCGAACTTAGGCTTGTTCTTCCATTCGGGTTGGCACGTTTTTAGCTAGCTTTGGCTGTTTTTCAGCAAATTCTTCAGCAACAAGCGCTGCATTTTTGCAGGAAATACAATTTCTCCAGTTTTTTGTTTTTGTTTTTGCCTGTACATTTTAAAGTTAAACTCCTTCATGCTGCTTGTTTACAGTGATGTCTGCAGACGTGGAAATCTTCATGTATATATAAAGTATTTTTATCCTCACAGCAGGGATAAGACGGCAAGATATGATTATTAAATTTTGTAGTCTTGATTTGTTTTTGCTTGTGGCCCAGACAACAATGTGATTGTGCTTTTAGTCATGTGTGTTTTGTCTAGTTTCACAAAGAGCAGCTGTGTCACATTAAATGTGTTTTTCCCCAGTAAGGAGATTGATTATGCAACAAATGACTCAGCTCTGTAAAAAGTATAAAGCTTTACTTTTTATTCTAAAGTTGTAAAGCTATAAAATATGTTTTTTTGTTTTGCTGCTTCAATTCTCAGGATGTGATCTGAACGCTCGTTGATATCTGTCACTTTTTAAACTCTTCTACTGAAAAAACAACAAACTTAATAAACCTGGCATCAGCGGGCGTCCTATTTTACTGCTTTTTTTTTTAACCATCCGTTCTGCTTTTACAAAGATTAAACACCAGAAGAAATGATTGTTTCACATCCAAAGCAAGAATCATCTTCTCACTGAAAATGTAAATTAATGTTTCAGATTGCCTTTTAGTAGAAGTCTGAGCATCTTCCAGCTTCATTCACTCTCGTGTAAAACTAAAAGTACAAACATATTCAGCATATTTCCTGCAGAAAAGCTCAATTTCTACATATAATTTTCATTCTAAAGACGGGTCAAGAAACATATTAATTAAAGGTCTTATTTTTAAACAATGGATGCAGGTGACTTCCTGTTGTCTGACCACGTGTAATGATTTAGTCTGTTTGCTCATATGATGTATGTGTTTGCTGTTTTAAATGTGTTCAATCGGATGCACATGAGGTGGTGAGTCCTTTTCTAAAAACAACTCCCCACGTCCAGCTGGTGTCACGCAAGTTACAGGAACTACAAATGCATGTGCAGTTTGTCCCCTCATACTGCTGACAGCGTTTCTGAACTTGTGCACAGTTTATTTCAAAAGAATATAAAAATCTTGGAGACAATCTCCATGTTTTTTTTGCATTTATAGCACAAAGAGGGTGTGGAAATAAACCAGTGGTCTTGTTTTTCACCCTTCTCTGTTGAAAGCTATTCAAAGTCTAATCTAGTGCAACAGCTGTTCGTCTGAGTTAGAGTTAAAACAAATCTTTTACGTTTAAGAAATTGATGATGGCTCTGGTAATGATTTTAAATTAAGATGGCTCCACTGTAAATGGAATACAACAAAAATGCACAATCTGTTTAAATAAATGAAAAAAAAATCTCAAAAAGAAAGAGTTTATTTTTGTTTTGTTTAATTGGAAACACTTGCCTGAACAAGGATCTCTGCATATTTTCTCATTTAGCTGCTTCTACAATCCCAACATGTGTCTCCCTCTGGTGCTCAAATGCTGCAACCTGGAGTAAAGTTCAGCAAGTGGTTGAAGTTTATTTATTCTGACTATTTTCTCCAGTAAAAGTAACCAGACCTTACTATGCAATCAAAAGTTACACCTCTAAATAACCTAACCCTTCAATAAAAAGGCACCACAGCAGAATAGGATTGAGCTTTAAACACCAAAAGTATTCTGACACTAAGTAAAGTAAGTAAGCCGTTCACAACTGGACTGAGAAACACATTTTAAACAATTATTTTCTTCACAAAGATTAACAGGAGCTGATTGTTTAATTTGTCACACAATCATCCCAATTGATGACTTGTGATTTTCACTGGATTTGAATTTGGAAATATTATTTTCACATAAATATCTGAGTAAAATTTAGCTACATACCAGAAAGGACCAAAGTGTGACTCAGTCAGTAGCAACGACTATTTATAATCCAAAATATTTTTTAAAACTATAAATTCATATTATTCTTCCTTGAGTCTGACAAAATAGGCAGCCACAAATGTTTATTTACTTATTTAATATTGAACATTTGAGGTCACACTGTTTATATACAAACTAGTAATTGTCATAAGTACTTTGTACCATGTATGGGGCTTGTTTGATTCTAACTGACATAAAAAAATACTCTGAAATAATATGAAAACAAAAATTATGCATATTTTTAGTTCACAGTTTGTTTGTTTTTTTAAATAAACATTTCTCTAATATATATTTTTAAACATATAATAAATATTGTGGTGTAATAAAAATCTCGTTCCTATGATGAAATTTATTTTACAAGTTAATCCAGAAATCTGCTTTAGCAACAAAATAGGCTTTTCTTGTTTTTTTTTTTTTTTTTAAGAAACTTTTTAATGACCTGGCTGTTTACATCATGACTTTTCCTTCTAAACAATTATTCTCACGTTTTATTGCGTTTTTATTCCCGGAAGTACTAATGATGTCTGAAATGCATCAATCCGTGTATTTTTTCCCCCCACTATAAATAAAAATACGAGTGTGATTAGTAATAAATTCGTCATTAAGTCTGCATGTTTTCCGACTGTCTTTGAACGCATCAAGCTAAAGTCCCGCCCCTTATAGTCTACGTCAGAGACATCATGGCGGCGCCCCGTGCTACGGATGGAGTGGATGAAAGCTGCGGTGATACCGGGCTGATTTTGTCTAATTCATCTACAGGGGACCCGAAGAGACCTCAGTTCGGAACTCGGTTCCTCACGGATCCGCGACAAGTCTTCCAGCACAACGCTTGGTCGGTACCAGAGACCAGAACCGGGTCGGGGATGCCACTGACGGGATATTAGCTTAGGTTTTTTTTTTTAAAGCTATTTTTTTTCAATAGTAAAAATTATTAACAATATTTTCTCACCGAGTAAATTATTTTTTCTTTGTTTACATTACTTTGGGACAATTTGCTGTTCTTTTCAAACACTCGTACAATATCTCAGTAGTTGGGTAATTTGTCAGATATTAATATATTTGTAAAAAAGTGCCACTACTTGTTTAGTTTATTTATTTATTGTTAATTGATTAGTTTGCCCTAAGTGCTAGGTCAAATCTGTATCCATATATCACAAATGTGAATGAAACTAGTTAAAGCAAAGAAAACATCAGCTTTTCATTACTATAGCATGATCACTTAATTAAATATTTATATTGTTTACATCTGCTCATGTCAGCTGGGTGGTAAAATGGCCACAGGAAGTCGTTTATCTTGAGGTATCTTAGGACTGCTTGGCATGTCTGCACTGCCACTGCCTTTGTTCACGCTGGATAACAGTGTCATGGTGTCACCAGGGACAATGTGGAGTGGACTGATGAGCAAGAAGAAGCTGCAAAGAAGAAAGTGTCAGAAAACAATCAGCCTCTGCCCCCAGAGAAACAAGGTGCAGTCGTGTACACTCGTTTTACAAATGTGACATTTAAACCAAAGGTGTAACCAGAAGGATGTACAGTTCTGATCAGGAGGACATCGTGTTGCACAGTACAGTCAACTTTTTTTTCTGATTCTTTCTTCCAGAGGACTACGACAGCCGGGCCAGTGAATACTGGAACGACTTCTACACGATACACGAGAATCGATTCTTCAAAGACCGTCACTGGCTCTTCACAGAGTTCCCAGAATTGGCTCCACGGTGCAACATAAACCACGAATCTGGTCCGAGTGTGGCGGGCGCAAATGGCAGTCCTGATCAGAAACAATCTGCAGCTTTGTCTCCTGACAGCCCCGACTTTCCTGGTTCCTCTGCCACGTATCGCGTTTTAGAGGTTAGAGATTATTTTTATCACAAGCATATTCTGCACCAAGACATTGGTGTGTTCTCATGAATCTGTTAGCAAAACAATTCATGAATCAGTGAACAAATTTTAATAAAACTGTCTAAAAGTAATCCTTGGGTGGACATCTACAACCCACTTCTGAAGCTGCCCCAATTCAAGATGGCTGCCACAGTCAACCAACCTCACAAAACACCAAAATCCTAACTCTTTCAATTTAGCAGCTACAATTTGGCGCTTTTTAAAAAAATTTTTTTTATAAACTATGGATTGTGAAACAGATTTAAGTAAAAGAAAACGCGTTTAATAAAATGTATTTAAAAATGAATTAACCTTAGCTGATTGCTAATAGATGCTAACTAACGAGTGAGTATTTTTAATATACCATGTGCATGGTGACAGGTATCTAGTTTTATGTTGGTAAAACATTTTTGAAACAGTTATGACATTTTGAAAAGTGCCTTTAAATATTTCTACACATTCATTTAGCGTTGTTTTTTAGCTGTTCAGCTTTTATGATTTCACTCAAAACAATTTACAGGTATGGTTAGCTTGTCTTCATTTTTTTAATTCCCTCTTTTTGTTTTATACAAACAGATGTAATTATCATATATACTGTTGTAGCCAACATTTGAACAGTTTAAGACATGTTGCCAGTTTTGCATCTGGAAAGGTTAATTTTAACATTTGAGATACAATGTTGTCAGAAATCCCGCAGTAATAATTTGTGTAATAACAGATCTGCTTTGTTTAGGTTGGCTGCGGTGTAGGAAACACGGTTTTCCCCATACTGAAGACCAACAAGTAAGAACATACAGAGCACTAATATTTAAAGTAGGGATGCACGATATTATCGGCATGGTATCGGTATCGGCTGATATTAACGTTAAAGTTAAATATCGGACATTCCATCAAAATAACTCGCCGATATAAAAGGTGCTGTTTTATATGACAACCCAGTGACGAGGACGCCTGCAGCGCCAGCACAACGTGACGTCATGTGCGCCACCTGATCTGATCACGGTGGAGAGAAAAATTCAAAATGGCGGCAGTGTGGAAGTTTTTTTTTCATTGAGGATGTTGGATTCTGAAGATTTATGGAATGTGTTGAGCCTCGCTACATCGTCCCCAGTCAGATATTTTTCTGACGTAGCCTTACCCGAGTTACAAGCCGTCATTTCCGACGTCACTGAGAAGCTAACAGCTGATAGCACTTGGGTGAGTTTTACCACAGACATTTGGACGTCGTGTTAGCCCGTTAGCATGATTAGTCTTACTGAACAATGGATAGATAAAAACTTTGAACGTAAAAAGTCTGTCCTTCATGCACAGGAGTGCAGAGGATCCCACACTGCAGCTATAGGAACCTGGAACAAACCTCCACAGGTGAAACAGCATCGCAGGTGACTAATGCTAATAAATAACATTTAACACTTTTCATTTAATACAAGTTAAAGTGCTGTGCATATCATACGGCTGTTACTGAATATATGTCACCAGCTCTTACAGCTGTTGCACAATTTTTGTAGCAAATGAGCCTAAATGAGACGCTATGATCTGACAAAGGAACGTATATAAAAAATATCTATCGGTTATCGGCCAAATAAGTTTTAATATCGGATATCGACCAAAAATCCAATATCGTGCATCCCTAATTTAAAGGGGTATGTTTGAAAACACCTTTTTATTCTCTGAAGTTTATAACGGCAGCTTTGCCCGTTGCAGTGATCCGGGACTCTTCGTTTACTGCTGTGATTTTTCCAGCGCTGCTGTCGAGTTAGTAAAGGTGACATGTTTGAAATCCTTAAAGAACAGTTTGCTCTGACCTAAAGGCTTGGGAGCCAAGTCATGAAAAATGAACATTTCTCCTCATCAGACTAATCCAGAGTACGACTCCAAGCGCTGCTTTGCCTTCGTTCACGACTCGAGTGATGAGGAAGCCAGTTACCCCATCCCTGATGGAACCCTGGACGTTATTGTGTTAATCTTTGTGCTATCAGCACTGCATCCGGACAAGTATGGACTTTATTTCTTGTCTTCAGCTGTTTTTAACTCTGCCTTTCATTTCACATGAGCAGCTAAAGACCTTGTGTAAAAACGTTCCCTTTGTTTCAGGATGCGTTCATCCATCAGCAGAGCAGCGCGCCTGCTGAAACCAGGAGGGGTGATGCTGCTCAGGGACTATGGGCGCTACGATATGGCACAGCTACGCTTTAAGAAGGGTTAGTCGAGATGAAGTCCAGACAGAACCCACGCTTAGAACTGTTTTTTTAAGAAGCACAGAGTTTATGTTGACTTATTTTGAAGGTTACTTTAAAATGCAGTAACAGTTGGTATTTAACGATAATGTCTCAGCGTACATTTTACAAAGAATATTCAGGACTGTTCTGATACCGAACCGTTGCGTTCTCTGCCAAAATGCTGCATGAATGCCGAGTGCTGAATAACAGCTGAAGCTTGTTCGAGAAGGTGACACGGTGGCTCAGTTGGTAGAGCTGTTGCCTTTCAGCGAGAGGGTCGCCAGATCAAATCCTGGCCAGGGACCTTTCTGGGTGGAGTTTGCATGTTCTCTCCGTGCATGCGTGGGTTTTCTCCGGGTGCTCCAGTTTCCTCCCACAGACCAAAAACATGCATGTTAGGCTGATTGGTAACTGATTGGTAACTGATTGGTAATTGGATGGATGGATGGATGGATGGATGATGGATGGATGGATGGATTGATTGATTTTCTGAAGAAGCTGAAACTAAGTTCTTAAAGCTGAAACAAGCAAAACTTTGGCTAAAAACCAAAAATAGCTAAATTTAGCCCAAAGCTAAAAGGCAAACCCCTAGCAAAATGCTAGAAATAGCAAAAGGCTAGTTAAAAGTAGCAAAAGTCAAACTAAAATGTACAAATAGCAAAACGCTACTTTAAAGCAGCAAACGGTGACCTTTAAGCTAAAAGTTGCAAAGGTAGATAAATGCTAGCTAAAAATAGCCAAAGCTTAGCTAGAGACTTTTTTTTCGGCTGCTCCCTTTTTCAGGGCTCGCCACAGCGAACTAAGTCGTACGAAGATTTGTTAATTATTTTTATGCCGGATGCTCGTCCTGACACAACCACAGACCACCGAGCTACCACAGCCCTCTGTGTGGAGCGGAGATCTTGGGCACCCGGGGGAGCAGATGGGGGGGGGGGGGGGGTGTTAAGGGCCTTGCTCAAGGGCCCAGAGTAGGGCAAATGAGGGTGGAGGCAGGTGTGGGTGCTTCACCTATCCCACCCACATTTTGATATTGTCAGTGCTGGGAGTTGAACCGGCGATCTTCGGATCACAGGCCCACCTTCTCTAACCTCTGCACCACCACCCAAGTTTAGCTAGAGACTGAAAGTGATAAAACGTTAGTCGAAATCTAAAAGTAGCAAAAGGTTAGCTAAAAGAAGAAACGGTCTCAATGTAGCAAAGGTTAGCTAAAAACTAAAAGCAGGAAAAGGCTAGCTAAAAGTAACAAAAGCTTTGTTAAAAGTAACAGAACAGTAGCTAAAAGTAGCAAAAGCTTTGTTAAAAGTAACAGAACAGTAGCTAAAAGTAGCAAAAGCTTTGTTAAAAGTAACAGAACAGTAGCTAAAAGTAGGAAAAGATGTGTTAAAAGTAACAGAACAGTAGCTAAATGTAACAAAAGCTTTGTTAAAAGTAACAGAACATTAGCTAAAAGTAGCAAAAGCTTTGTTAAAAGTAACAGAACAGTAGCTAAAAGTAGCAAAAGCTTTGTTAAAAGTAACAGAACAGTAGTTAAAAGTAGCAAAAGCTTTGTTAAAAGTAACAGAACAGTAGCTAAAAGTAGCAAAACCTTTGTTAAAAGTAACAGAACAGTAGCTAAAAGTAGCAAAAACTTTGTTAAAAGTAACAGAACAGTAGCTAAAAGTAGCAAAAGCTTTGTTAAAAGTAACAGAACAGTAGCTAAAAGTAACAAAAGCTTTGCTA